TATGGCCGACTGGAGTTGCTGGATTTGGTCCGTTTGTACGTTAATCGGATTCTGGATGGCGTTGACATTGTGTGTGACTGCGTTTTCGCAGACACACACAACGTCAACGCCATTTGCTTTTTCGTTAATTTTGTCAGCGGTTCCTACCAGTTTATCCAAGTCGGTGTCTTCCAACCAAGAGGTTAATATTTGGGTCACGAGGTTCGGCAGCTTGTTAAACCATAGTCACCGCAAAATATTCTCGGACAAGATGTGTCTCAGGAGTTGAAAATGTGTCCTATTTTCAATGGAGACATTACTAAAAAGATTTGACAATTTCTTTTCTTCGGGCTCACTAGCCCGGTGTAATATTTTGAAAAAGAATATTAATTTCAGGAACCCAGTATTTGTTTTATTTCAGTTTTTTCTTATCTTTATAATCTAAAAGAATTCAAAGATCATTTTACAGTTTTGTAGACAATTAAAGCGAATATAAGTATAAAAATCGACCCTTAAAAAATGAATTTTCTCATTTTTTTACCAGTTTGGCGTACACGTTCGTGCAATCTGTTACCACTATTTATAGGTTAAAAGTTGTTATTTAAACCTACCTTGCAATGTAATTTGATGTGTTTATCCTTTTAACTGTATAACTGCTCGCTAACCAATACTTACCAATGTTGTTGTTATTACTGTTGCGGGTATAAACACTTTTCATAAGAAGTTATAAGCTCCTAGTACATTTGACCCGCTAATAAATTTGATGGACTCGTGTCCAAAGGAAAAATAAGACAGAATTTAAACAAAGAAATATTAACAAATATATTGCCAGGACATTTTATAAAAGAAAAGATCAGCAATGAAATGTGAAAAGTTCAAAGCAACCTTAAGTCTCTGTAGTTGATTACTCACATTACCGAAAAAAAGAATACGTCTTTTCGCTATGAAAAGTCACCGAGAAAGAGATCGAGTCTTTCGAATCTCGCGCTATCTGTAAATATCGTCAGGGCAATAATTACAAAATCTCGCCCAGTGAGAGTTTATCATCGGTGTGTGTGTGCGGGGGGGGGGGGCTTATCCAACATTAACAACAACAACAAAAAGACGTGTTTTTGTCAGGTTTCAAATCTCGTATAGGCATTAATAACGAATAAATTCTCACATTTGAAAAAATAAAATGTATTTTTACGCGGGGATAAAAATAATAAATTTGTTGTTAATTTCTTTAAGACGCTATACAGTTGAATTTTAATTTTCAAATAATCAATTATGCGTTTGTTAAAATGGCTATTAACAAATATATTTCAAATATTCGACTCAACCATTTTTTTTCATTTTAGTTAAATTAAATATGAATTTGCATTTTTATTTTTATTTTTGTTACTCCAATGAACTCTAAAATGTTGCATTGTGGGTAACTGTTTGCGCTGCAAGAAATTTCGGTAAAAGTAAAAAATAAAAATCAATTTTACTGACCTTTCTCACATAAGCGTTAAATTTAGCTTTAAAATTTCGATAAAATTGTGACGTTTTGCTTTGAAAACTTTACTAATGTTATCTTGTTCAAAATAAGGTCAGACGAAAATAAAACGAATTTGTGTCATCAATGAGACAGAAAATGAGAAATTCTATCGTCTGTAATTAAACATTTCTTGATGTGTGAATGAGCCAATTGATTTTGTGATTTATATTTTGAAATTTAAGTTCACTTTGTGTTCAGCGTATTTCAAAGCTGGTATTATTCAAATATGTTTTTCGGATCGGTTTCTATAAAAAAAAAAAGATTATTAAAAGAGCCGCATCACCAGTGTGTGTGTGTGTGTGTGTGCGCGCGCGTGTGCTTGTGTGTGTGTGTGTGTGACAAGTGGCAGAGTGGTGAAGGTGTGTGTGGAGGGGACGGATCCGTCTAACAAATGACACAAAGACGTACATCAATCAATATTTCTGTCGGTCATTGAATGAATCATTATCACCATCATCATCATCACCATCATCATCATCATCATCATCATCATCTTCTTGCCATTTCCCATCAGGGTGTGAGCGATCATGGCTCTCTACAACTTCCTATTCTTTGTGGCTCTTATCAGCGTTACTCCTTTTGTCAAACTTCTCACCTCCTGTTCTGCCACCCATTTACACAATCAATCTTGCGTTCGGTATGCCCCGTGAAAGTTAAGCTTTCCAAGTTTTCCTTCCTTATTATGTGTAAAAAAAAAAACAACAACAAAAAAACACAGCTGTATTTTTTTTTTATAATAAGGTTCACCCTGTACAAGGCCTGAGGGCCACTCGCGGTAGATGTTTATGTTAAGAAGCAGTTTATACGGATAGAAGGAGAAGATTATGGTTAACCCTAGATTTCGACAGGTTAAGATTGTAGTGATCCGTGAAACATCTTCTTGGGAATCTTCTTGGTTCGCAGGAAGAAGCTGTTCGAGTGGAACTGACTTCCCACGGATGGAATGTGGGTGGTTTGCTACAATATCAGTGGCATGCCGGTCTTATCTGTGAAGGTTAGACCAGGCGGAATCAAGGAATGTAGTTCTTCCGAGCACTTTCTATGGACGTAGCGATAAAGCAGCGACAGGCCCGCTACGTCCCTTCTTCTAAGTATAAATGTTCTTTTTGTTACCATTTTCTTTAAGACTCCCTCGGTGCCTACTCAATCTGTCTATGGAATTCTCAGTATCCTTCTGTAGATCCCACATTTATATTGTCTCCAGTCTCCTCTTTATCTGTGGGAAGATTGTCCAGGATTCACTGCCATACAAGAGGATTGATATCACATAGCAATTCACCATTTTTTTTTTTTTTTGCTTCCAACTGAATTTTCCTGTTTCTGAGTATTTTGCTTAACCCTTGGAATTCCTGTTTTGCTAATCCAATGCGTGTTCGGATTTCAATGTCGCATTTCCCTTCCTTTGTTAGTACACTTCCCAGATATTTCAATTTCTTGACTTGTTTGATGTTGTCATCTTGGGCTTCTTCTCTTGCCGATGAATATACTTTGTCTTTTTGCAGTTGATGGTTAGTCCTTTTTTCTAGCTTTCCTTTACTACCTTGTCTAGGAAACCTGGAGTTTTCTTTCTGTGTCTAAGGAAGGCAAAAAATCGCTACCCACTGTTTGAAAATATTCATCAACAAGCACCCTCCTGCAATATTTTTAAATAAATATTTTTAAATAACAATTTATTTAATTACTATACTCTATTGTTTTCAAGCAAATAAAATCGATTTAAAAAAGTTAAACTTAAGTTCTTGTATCTTCTTTTTAAATTATTATTTTAATAAAAAGTAGTAAAAAAATTAAATTTTAGATTGGACCGGTATTGACGGCCTAAATCAACCCGTACATTTTTTTAAAGAATAAAAAAATAAAAGCAATGTATTATTAAACTCAAAAGTATGATTTAACTAAAAACAAAGTCGGGGAAAAATTCCTTGGGTCAGCGTTTGAATAAAAAAATGAGAGAAAGATTGTTGCGTGTTCAAATAAAATGATATTTAAACGTAAGACACAAATTTTAACCGCAATTACTTATCATAGAGTTGGAAGACAAGATCAAAGAGAGACCGCTATTGCTTTGATGAGAAAGACAAGACGACGAGGTTGACTCGTGTCTCTTTACTGCTATAAGTCCTTCTCTCGAGTTGAATGAATGTTCGGGAGCTGATTTTATTGGCTATTTATTTTTATTAAATTGCAAATTTGAAATATATTTGAAACCCGGAAGACTGCGCGGTGTCTTTAATTTTATCATTTGCTCCTTTGATTTGATGTTGTTCAATTCTGCCTACTCTATAGCAGTATAAAAATAAAATTATTCATTCTAAGTTTCGTAAACTCGTATAGAATTAATATATATATATATATATATATATATATATATATATATCTTACTTATTATAAAACCCAGGTTGTGTGTGTGTGTGTTCGTTTATATATGGGATCGGATTTCCTACATTTTTCAACCGATTTCAACAAAACTTCACAGGACTACGTAAAATTACCCGGCGGTGGTTCTGACAGCGCCCCAAATTGGAAAAACATAATTGTTTTTGCATGAAATCAATTTGAAAGCACGGGTAAGGGTCATTTATGCAGATTTTTCGCAGTTTTTGGACGGTGTTTTGTTACCGAGCCACCAAAACAAAGCAAATGATCCAGTTTCTGATAGCATTCACGCTTGGCTATCTAACAAGTACCAAATTGTTTGCAAGACTGTCAAAGCCGCTTGACCAGGGAACCATAAACGCGGGTACCAAGGGACAGGATTTAGCTCTCTGAACACACATTCACTGGCACAGTATATACAGTTTTGGTTTGATTCAAATGAAATTTACGACACACTTGCGGCTTACGATTGCCTTTATGTGTGTCAAATTTCAGAATTTTTCGGCAAAAATAACCGTAGCTGCACGCGGATCAATCTTTTTTTTTAACTTCCTTACACACACACAGCTGCGTACAACCGAGTCCGCGTGTCGATACCGTGACTGCTGCAAGCCCATCGGTCGCTTTCACAGAGCTTGACCTTGGGGCCTGTCCAATCATCGCGCAGGATTTCTCACACGTTATAGCGGTCGCGTGATCGCGCGTCAGCTTATGTGTAAGTGCGCTCAAGGTCAACCACCTCTATTGCGTGACTCGGGCGTGCTTTCACCCTTTTGCGTTTATTGTTGCCCGCATGCACGCACTTGGCTTACTTTATTCGCCTACTTCGGACACTGCAAGTTGTTGATTACGTGTTCTAGCTGCTTTTTTGTTTTATAGTTCCAACCCAACCCCACACACGTTAGCCAATTGTACTAAAAACCCATTTCCTTTTGGATTTACCCTTGGTTTACCTTTTTGAATTTCCACTTTTTTTAGTTTCGAGTTCCTCTTTAATAACATCTGAACTCATTTTTCTGGGTGTTCCCCTTTTTGTGTCTATGTTAGCAATGCACGTATTTCGTTTTGGATTTGGCGAAATCTCTTTTTAAGCTTTACCCTCTTTGACGTTTTTACTGTTTGGATGCCACCTAAAAGGAGGAAACTTTTGGGACGGCGCACGGCAGCTGCCTCCGCTGCTAGAGCAGCGAGGGCGAGTGAAACTCCTGAACAGACTTCTTTGTGTCTTTCACGGAAGGCCTCGAGCTCAGCTGCTCGCTTATCTACAGAAAGCGCCGCTGCGCAGACTGAAAGGTTGGCTTCAGTAGCTTCAACCATGTTCACACGCCGCGCCAGGCTTTCAGTTGAATGTTCACTTCAGAATTCACAGGACGCATTCTGCGTGGCTAGGTTGAGGGCTTCACACTCCCCAGCACAGAAAACCCATCGTCGTTTGCAGGATACCACCGCCAAAGCTTGCTCCAGGGGTTTAGAAAGCCCCGATCAAACAACTTCACGTCGTCTTAGGAATACGAGGGCTACAGCCGCCTCTAGAGCTTCGGAGCAACCCTAAGAAACCGCTCATCGTTGCTTTAGAAATGCCCTATCCATAGCGTCTCCCAGAGCCTTAGAAAGCCCTGCACAGACCACTGTTCGTCGGGTTAGAAAGACCCGTTCCACCGCGTCTGCCAGAGCCTTAGAAAGCCCTGCACAAACCACTGTTCGTCGCGTTAGAAATGCCCGCTCTACTGCGTCTGCCAGAGCCATAGAAAGCCCTGCACAAACCACTGTTCGTCGCATTAGAAATGCCCACTCTACTGCGTTTGCCAGGGCTGCAGAAAACTCTGAAGTACGCCGTCAACGGCTCGAAAACATTAGCAACTTCGAGCTTCTTTGAATGGCGTAACTTCGCCCTCTGCGTCATTTTGGTTAAATGCCGCATACAATTATCACTGCACTGTCAACTATTCCGCTAAGAGAGACGTACAAATAGGGGCCATGGATAAAGTTTGCACTTTTTGCAACGCAAAAAAGTGGGCCGGTGAGCAACCTGGGCTTTGTTGCTTTTGGTGCGAAAGCTATTAGTGAGGGGGGATGGATGCCTACTTTCAAAGTGCAAGGACAGGTTTACCACTTAATGGAATCACTTTTGGCTGAACAAGGAGAGTCACATCAGTTGCTACAAATATACGGAAGCGATGGGTACCACTTCAAAATCTCAATATACCAGGCAAGCTGCGATTCCATGTCGACCTCAAAGACGGTCTTCTGTAGGACTTACTACGCCTACATGTTTATGATTAGGGAGGGTGAATTTAACCATTTGAACAGGTGCCGTCAAATATTTCTTCAATTCGCTGTTGATATGGGTGCAAAAATTGAGTCGGAGAGGTTAGGATTCATCAAGTTAAACCAATCCAAACTTAGAACCGACTCTTATATTCACCTTCGTGATGGTCTGCGTTCTGATGGTGACCCACGCAATCTCGGCAAACCGTGCATTTTGCCTTCCTCTTACACTGGTGGCCCTCGATACATGCATGAAAGGACACAAGACGCAATGACCTATGTCCGTCATTACGGGAGGCCTGATTTGTTCGTCACGTTCACGTGCAATCCGAAATGGGTTGAAATCACACGCGAACTTTTTCAAGGTGAAAAGTACTCACATCGCCCTGACTTAATTGCCCGCGTTTTCCGGTTACAGCTGTGTAAGGTTATGGATTTAATCCTTAAAGGGCAAGTCTTCGGACGCGGTAAGTATCATATGTATACAGTGGAATGGCAGAAACGCGGTTTGCCTCATGCCCACATTCTGCTGTGGCTCAACGATAAGGTTGACGCAAACAAAATAGATGATTTTATTTCAGCTGAAATTCCGGATCCTGTGCTGGATCCTTTGCTCCACGAAATCATTAAAAACAATATGATACACGGCCCCTGTGGCGCAAATTACGAAAAAAGGTCATGTTGGTCAAGTGGTCCCACTTGCGCAAAGGGTCACCCCCGTAAGTTTATCTCAGAAACGCAAACTGCGACGGATGGTTACCCACTGTACAGACGTAGAAGCCCCGCTGAGGTTGACAGAACTGTGACAGTTAAGGAGCACACTCTGGACAATCGTTGGGTGGTGCCTTATTGCGCGCTGTTGTCCAAGACTTTTGGAGCCCACATAAACATTGAATACTGCCACTCAGTTAAGTCAATAAAGTACATCTGGAAGTACATTAATAAATAGTATCCGGCACGACAGTTGCGTTGACAAGGTGGCCGATTACGTGGCTGGACGCTACCTCAGCAGTAGCGAGGCCTTTTGGTGAATTTTTGGATTCCCCATACATCAAAGGGCTCCAGCCATTGTGCAGCTTGCTGTTCACTTAGAAAATGGACAGAGGATGTACTTCACCGAACAAAACGGCCAGCAGGTTGCGGAAAACCCTAAAGACACAACCCTAACGGCTTTCTTTAAATTATGCTCAACAGATGCTTTTGCCAAAACATTGATATACCCCTAAGTCCCGTCCTACTACGTGTGGTCAAACAACCGGTGGGTTCGATGAAAGGCTGGTGACCCTGTCGAGGGTTATCCCGATGTAAGGTCTAACTCTTGCTTTGGACGCGGTTATACTGTAACCCCCCCCCCCAGCCAACAGGAGTGCTTTTACCTCCGCCTTCTACTTCATGAAATTGCTGGGCCAACGAGTTTCACAGATATTCGCAGTCAACGGCATAGAGTGCCAGTCTTATAGAGAGGCATGCTTCCGTTTGGGATTGCTTGGTGGAGGGTGAACTTCTCAGAACGCCATCATGGCTTCGAACGCTGTTCGCCATTTTGCTTTTGCGATGCGAACTAAGCGATCCTCTGTCGCTCTGGCTAAAGTACAGAGAATCCATGTCAGAGGATGTGCTGTTCTCTGTTCAGCATAACAGCCCAGGACTTGAATGCGGTTTCACTGACTTTATATTCAACAGAGCCCTGGTGGCCCTAGAAGATGTTGTTTTCGAACTGGGGGGTGCCTCTTTACCAACTTACGGTTTACCACCACCGCTCAGAGATGGTTTTGACACTGTACCAACTGAGTTATTGTGGGAAACATCCTACTCCATCGAGGGGCTGAACGCATACATTACCGAAAACGAGCCCAAACTTCTACCTGATCAGAGGGTTGCTTTCCCTACCATAACAGACAGGTCAAACGGCTCTAGTGGAGGTATATACATTTTGCGATGGCAAAACTTTTGTTACTAAATTAGTCCTGGCAGAGGTACGGCGTCGTGGGTAGATCGCTATTGCGGTCGCATCTTCCGGGATTGCTGCAACGTTGCTACCGGGAGGTAGAACCGCTCATTCGGTTTTTAGGTTGCCGCTTGATCTATGCCGGTCTCAACTCCTCTCTACAACATAACAAAGAATTCGCCACAGGCTGAAGTTCTGCGGAGATGCAAACTTATAGTTTGGGATGAGTGCACGATGGCACAAAAAGGGCGCCCTTGAGGCACTTGACCGAAGTCTCCAAGACATCTGCGACTCCTCCGACCCCATGGGGGGAGTAACCCTCCTCCTCGCAGGCGACTTTAGGCAGACTCTACCTGTTATTCCTAAAGTTACACGCGCTGACGCTGTCCGCGCCTGCCTGAAGTCGTCTGCCCTTTGGCACCACGTGGAAACTCTTAAACTGAGCACGAACATGCGTGCCTACTTGAATGGGGACTCCAGATCCGCTGACTTCGCACGGGACCTTCTTGCTCTTGGGGAGGGGAAAATGCCATTTTAAACACAGGGTTTTGTGCAATGGATCAACTTGCCACCACTGTTGAATCACCGGATGAATTGATGAATGCAGCCTTCTACAACCTATCCACTAATTTTGCCGATGCCGATTGGCTTGCTGGGAGGGCCATATTGGCACCGAAGAACTGTACAATTGATTCCATCAACCATAAACTGTTGGATTGCATTCCCGGGCAATGTCATGTTTATAAGTCCATTTACAGAACTTCCGATCCATCTGAATTAGCTGAGTATCCCATAGAAGTTTTGAACTACTTTCAGCCGTCCGTACTCCCACCTCATATTCTTCGGTTCAAAGTTGGTGCTCCGATTATGCTAATCAGAAATATGTTCCCACCTAAACAACGGGACTCGCCTCATTATTAAATCCCTTTCTCCGAACCTGATTGAGGCGACCATTGCAACTGGCTGCGGCAAGGGGGAAGTCGTTTTGATTCCCATGATGCATCTTCTGCTGTCAGACGCAAGCATACTAACCAACTTTCGTCGCTCACAATTTCCCGTAAAGCTTTGCGTTGCTATGTCCATTAACAAATCACAAGGACAGACGCTTAGCATCGCAGGTCTGCATTTACGTGAGCAGTGCTTCTCTCACGGCCAACTTTACGTTGGGTGCTCACGAGTTGGGTCTAAGGACAGGATTTTCATTTACTCTCCCAACAACTGTGCTAGAAACATAACCTACACGGAGGTCCTGTAGACAACCCGCCCGGTAGCGTTTAAGCGCCATGCACACATATGCAGTCCGATTGCATGGCAATATTTTTGTCATATTGGTTTTAACGTTAGGTCGTCGTAGTCTCCACTTGCCATTACTAAGACATCTTTATAATGCCTTCTGATTTTCATACCTTCACCCGCCATCATCGCGTTTGTTTGTACACTATGATAACTTCACCGTATTCAGTTGCAGCACAAGCTGCTAGACACATTAACACCGGCATTAGACATGATTGCTCCACTAAAGTTCCGGTTTCATTAACAGTTGATCGGAGCACCTGCAGTTTGTACCAGTGCATATAAGCACATTCACACTTGAGAAGCTTCGGAGTTCGTTTAATTGTCACAAAAGTCGAGTGCGTCTACGAAATTCAGGCTTCTGCTTCCATATACACTTTACGGCTGCCATGGGTGAAACATGTCAGCTATACGGCTCTATTGTTTTGTTTGGTCGGTTTTCATAAGCTCTCAGCCGTGATGTTGACTGCGACTGAAGAGAAGGCACTTCTCCATTGCAATTACGATGCTCGGCCTTACGGCTTCCCCCGTTGCGGCTTTAAGGACTCTCAGCCGCGATGTAGATAGTGACAGATCAGAATAAAGGAAGTTATATCACAGAAATTTTCTTACCATGACACCCCGTCACTGTTTGCTCTTCTCTCGGTTTCTGCTTTGTGGTCGTGGCAGGGCGTCTTTTAGTTAGACAAGCGGTTTGTTTGTGATTTAGCACGACACATACTTTATATCTATGGCTTCCTCACGGCACGTTTTTCCTTCAATCCCTATGTATGTTGCAACTGAATCGTGGTTTCTTCACTACTTACCACAAGTGTTTCCAGTAATGCTTAACGATCCAATTGGTTAAAGCAGTAACTGCTGCCAGCTTTTACTCACAGATGTCTTAGTAATGGCAAATGAATGATGCTACAACGTCTTTCCGTTACTTCCTTCGATACCTTCAAATATTTGGGCCTGCATGATGTCTGTTTAAACTTTGTGTGCATTGCGTTTCAACGTTTTGTTGAAACTTAGTTCCTGTCGACTTACAAAGCACATCTTTCAAAGCAACAGCCGTCCCCAACTCTTACTGTTACATTCCCGGGCAACGCCGGGTAACGCCGGGCTCTATTGCTAGTATATATATATATATATATATATATATATATATATATATATATATATATATATATATAAAATGATTCCAAGAGGATAGAACCTGGATTCTATCCTCTTGGAATTATTTTTATATATGTATGTGTGTGTATATATATATTTATATATTTTAGATATATGCATATATATGTATCTGTATAACCAATATTATATATATATATATATATATATATATATATATATATATATATATATATATATATATATATATATATATATATATATATTAAACTATTAGTTATATAAGATTAAACATAATTTTATTTTAAACATCAATACCTATGTCCTGATTATTGCAATACCGGTATTCCATATTTTTTTAATTTTAAGTTTTAATTTTTCGCGACATTTTTCTGTTCGAGTGTGCTATACATTTTTTTTTAAATTTTTAACATCTGATAAAGCAGGCTCCTGTGCGTAAATAAATGTTATTTTCATTATTTTTTAAGTAAAAAGTAAATTTTACTTTTACAAAATCCAGTTTATTAATCTTAATTTACTAAATGGCTTCGAAACATCTCTAGAATAATATTGGATTTTCAAAATATTTTAATTTGTTGCTCATATTTTTCTTCAATAATGGCGGTTCGATGAGTTCATGAGTGACGAGTGAACGTGCCAGTGATTTAAAAATGTCTAAAAATTGTATTTATATATGGAAATTAATTTTTCTTTTAATTCAGATTAGCGTTAGGCTATCTTTTTTTTTAATCAGTTCAGCCGAAGTAAGGCGACAATGCCAATTAAACGCAAGGGGCTACTGGGAGTGAAAGAGAATGAAAAGACTTTAGAAGGAACCGGAAACTCAATCCTAAACAAGAAACAAGGGATACACTTCTTCTCCTGTTTAAAAGACGAGGGAAGGAGTGTGAACTGGACGATAGGCAAATATATCTACTACTATTGAGAAAAAAATAGTAAATAAAAATTTCAGTTTAGGCGGAGACATTAGAGGTCTATTGTATTTTTAACTAATTATTTAGATGTTAATCTAGTTTAAATTTTGTTATCTGCTAAAAATGAAAAAAACAACTTTTGGTAGAGAAGTGAAATTATCTACCAGCTCACATCCCATTACCGTTCAAAGCCACGTGTGAGGAGTCAAACAGGGAAAAACGTGTGGATTTGCCCGATCACATGAAGGTATCTCAAAAATCAAATTTAAATAACTTTTCTTTATCTCGCATATATAAAATCTAGTATTGTGAGACTGGAAGCTCCCTTTATTGCTCAAACAAAAAAGGAAATAAGGAAGAGGAAAGAGTCTACTATTTGGATAATAATTGTTGAAATTCGCAGAAAGATGGATTGAAAAGTTGAGAAGAAAATTAATATAGTAACATGGAGCAAAACCAAGACTACCCGTCTTTCCCTACTTCCCGCTGATGAGAAGAGACCATTAATGT